CAAACAGCCCCTTTCGTTCAAACCCGAAAAGAAAAAGCAAAAACAGAGAAAGGAGCCCGCAGAAAAAAGATAAAGAAACACAACAAAACATGTAAAGAAAAACAACTTAACATTCTTGATTCTTTCTGTGTGTACATTCTACACTCACTTCACTTCACAAACGCCTTTTCCTCACAAACACATTTTCATCATAGCCAGCTATGGCAGCGGCGGCACCTTTGTTAAAGGTGTTTGTGGTGGCTGCCCTGGTATTCTTGCTGTGCACCGCCACCAATTTCTCAGCCTCAGTGGTGGCGGCAGCCACCTGGTGCGTAGCCAGGAGCGACGCTACCGACCAGGCCTTACAGCTAGCTCTTGACTACGCATGCGGGGCAGGTGCAGACTGTGGACCCATTCAATCTTCTGGGCTGTGTTATCTTCCCAATACGCTTCAAGCCCATGCCTCGTATGCATTCAACAGTTATTATCAGCGCAGGGGCAATGCCCCTGGCTCCTGTTCATTTGCTGGCACAACCACCATAGCCAAAACTGACCCAAGTTTGTAATCCCACCCTCTACATTCTTTTCCCGGATTTTTGCATTAGAAGTTTGTTATTTGAGTATTTTATTTTGTTTTTTTATGTTCAGGCTATGGATCTTGTGTTTATCCTTCATCTCCAAGGTATGTTTTATTTTATCGTATTAATATTTGCCTTTATTACTTTTCTGAAAGCTGCTTATTTGCTTCTTAAATTACTGGCATAACTTCTTGTAACAATGTTGATGCGCCCTACCAAAATCTTTAATAAGAATATTCTATTCCATGGTTGTGCAGTAGTATTCTTCTTGTTTATGCTTTCGTGCAGTCGAAATGGTGAATGTATAAATAATTTTCTCATTTCTATAACAGCACCATCCTCTCTCTCTCTCTCTCTCTCTCTCTCTCTCTCTCTCTCATACACACACACACACACAAGACTACAAGAGAGAGAGAGACGTGGATGCACTCCCAGGTGTCTTTGTGCATGGTGGGACTTCTGGGCACAGGATTCACTATGCATTTGTTCATAGTTAGGACCACAGGGACTCGTGTTCCTTTGTTTTGTGCCGTCTACATTTCACGGCAATTTAAGTTAATGAATTTGGAGCCTTACATTCAAAATAAAACAAAATAAAATGAGAGCCTTGATAAGTAACAAACATTTCTGTGTCTAGTTCAAATCCTTGTCACTTGATCACAAAGAACCATGAATTAGGCTTCATTATTATTGTGTCCGTAATGATTAGGAAGAATCAGGAAAGAAGAGAAGTGAGGGATCTAACGAAATCACAAATAGAATGGGCTGTTGATTTTGAGGTGCTTAAGAAACTCAAGTGGTGAATTAGAACTAGAAAAGGATTCCCAATAGCTTTGTTGTTCAATACCTATGCACGAGGTATTGATTTTAGAGGGCTCAAACTATTATCTTTGGATTCCATGTACAAATTATAATGATACCAGTCTGACATGGATATGAAGGATCTACTTTAGATTGAGCTATGAATGAGTGACCATATGAGAAAAATGGATGCAATTAAAATTATCTACTGATAATGAATGCATTCACAAGGACGGACATACTGGTTTCCAAGAGCTTTCAGCCTTAAAGACTGGCTTTTTGATGGGTTTCTTCTCTAAAAAAGACTGAAATTCCACATGGTCAGGCAGAAATGCAATATCAAATGCTTTCTTGAAGGAATTTATTTAAGGCAAGGTTTGACGGTTTGATTATTACCTTTGTTATCCTTCAATTTTCTAGGCAAACAATTTTGGTACAGAATAATAGACTGATGCCTTTTATGGCCACTCGTCCATGGATGTTAATTCTTGTAGTTAAAACTACGAGAACATGATTGTGGCCATAGCATTTTGTGATGAGATGATTGTGTATCTTCACAAATCATTCAACTACAGCAGGTGAATTTTGTGCAGTTACTTGTAATTAATGTGAAGTGCATACAAATGATTGGTATCCCAATTTCTGTTTTTCGTCAAGGAGACTTGAAATGGATCTTGCACCCATGCAAGATGCCTTGGGAATCAGAAATTTCTGTTCATGGATCCCTTTTGAAACATTTCAATCACACACGATAAAAATGAAACAAGGAGTTTGACATCAGTACCTGCAGTAACCTCGTTACGAGAGCAGAGTTCTAAAAAAGTGAGCCATATCCCTGAAGCGAAGTGGGGCATGCATTGGGGATTCACCATTGTCAAATAGTTGTTACCTTTATCTTTGTGGATTGAACCAAAGACCTTGCAAGTGAAGTCAATTCTCGCTCATAAGGGTATGAGCTACTGAGGGAATATCCATATCCTTTTTCGGTTACTTTTAATGCTTAACTCAACTGTCTTTCCAAATGCAAAACAAGATAGCACATAGTTATGTTTCTCCATTTAGTTCCTTTTCCAATGTCCTTAACTTGGAGAGACGTAAAATAACAAAAAAGAAAGGATATAACAAGGTGATAAAAGAGCTTCATAGCCTACCCTAAATACTCTAAGATCCTTTTTCAGACTTTCTCCCATTAAGAGTGAAGAGGAGATAAAAAGACATATCTCGTTATTTTGATTGGGAAGCCTTTATAGTGGTTACTACATTTGAAGACAAAGTATGTGTCTGTGCCAGCTGCCTCTAAAAAAAATTCATGATACTCTCCAGGGAGATAGGGAAAATTATGAACTTTGTAAAAGAGATAGAACTGGTAACTATGATGACTGCCTCAATCCATTGAATACTGTTTTCTCATGACCTGTGAAAAAATCATTGAAGAGAGAAGGGATACTACATATGGTCCCTCCATCACCTCTAAAAAGAAAATGATGAGCACATTAATTCTTGGTTTGTGAAAATGCATTCGAAGCACTATGTTTTTTCTGATATTGAGGCCAACTATAAACCAAACTCTCACCATGTTGATTCCCCTCAAACTGCAGAGCATTGAGTTAAAATTTGATCTAGTGTACTTTCCAAGTCAATCATTGAATGGACGCCTCTGCTAATTCAGATGGATGTAGACAAATTTCCCCAGAAACACCAAGATGCACATAGAAACTCATTAGAAGAGTGGTGAGGGTTTGAGTCCTTTGGATGCTACTTCAGAAAATGAGAGTTCCCAAAAAAAAAAAAAAAAAA